TTAAGTTTGCGCAAGTAATTTTCCGTGTTCTTTGGTTTGTTTAATAGAATTATTAACAATTAATGCATTTAAAGTGAGTATTTTTTATCAACATATACTTCAATATTTGTCAAAACTTAATCTGTTAATCAAAAAGTGATTATAGGTGGCCCATATATGTCCAATATAGCCATCGGTTGTCAGGTGGTGAAGATGGTGTAAGATGGTGTCAGATGCTTTGTTTGTCAGACGCTTGTAGTGTGGTGTCGGATGGTGTAGGATGGTTCAGCTGAACAGCTGTTGTCAGGTGGTAAATATGGTGTAAGATGGTGAAGATGGTTTAATGGGGGGGGAGTGTTAATTTTTAACCTACTTGTGCACATATAGTGTTGCCTCGTTCTTTCCGCCACGTATATATCAATAAAACCTACCAGACCAACGACAAAAGCGTTATGGCTAATTGTGCGTATATATATAGTGTTGCCTCGTTCTTTCAAAACTACGTATATATATCAATGAAGCCTACCAGACCAACGACAAAAGCGTTATGGCTAATTGTGCATATATAGTGTTGCCTCGTTCTTTCAAAACCACGTAGCTATATATCAATAAAACATACAAGACCAGCGACAAAAGCGTTATGGCTAATTGTCCATTATTATATAGTGTTGCCTCGTTCTTTAAAAAACATGCTTCGTATGTAGTAAACTGCAGTAGCAAACGCGTCAACGCATTACTATACAATCTTTGACAACGTCAAAAATTGTGTATTTATATACGTTTCATATGTATACATGCTTATATTCGCTTTGACATTTTAGGCATTTCCGGGCAGGAAACTATAAATTATAACAGTTATAACATGCACTAGCGGGCTGTAACGCAGCCATGCTATGTCAATGACAAATACATGCATAAGCCAGCAGGGTTCTTGTTTTAATCTTGTGCGCACTTTATATAACTGAATGAAGCAATTCATTGCATTATTACCTTTTACTGCTTCAAATTCGGCCGTAAACTACAATGATAAATAGAAAACAGCAGGCATCTCAGTCTAAAGTAAAACACTAGGAAGATCATGTGTGTAATCTTTGCAGAGTTTTCAAACGAATTTAACTCCCAATTACAAGATGCAAATTTCAATATACGGTACAAAATATGTTTCAAACTCCTCGAAAATATAATATATAAAAATGTTTGACACGTACAGTGTGGCTATATATACTAGCACGGAACTGAACACT